GTGTTTTAGTTACTGTCTATTGCTTTGATAAAAACACTTAAATAAAAGCAACTTGAGGAGAAAAGGGTTTATTTTACAACTCCCAGGTCACAGTTCATCACTGAGGGAAGTCAGGGCAGGAACTCAGGGAAGTAACCTGGACGTGCAGGAGCTGAAGCACAGACCATGGAGGATGCTTACTGGGCTTACTCCTCTGGCCTGTACTCAGCTTGCTTTCTTATTCAACTCAGGACCACCTGCCCAGGGGTGGCACCGCCCAGTGAGCTGGGCCCTCCCACATCACTCAACAATCAAGAAAATGCTCCACAGACATGGCCACAGACCAATCCAATGGAAGAAATTCCTCAGTTGAGGCTCTCTTTACCTAGGTGTGTCAAGTTGACAACTGAAGCTATCCAGTGCACCCAGCATGCACAAAACCCTGGGTTTGAGCTCCAGCACTGCATAAAATTGGAAGTGGTGGAACACCTATAATCCCAGCACTAGGGTGGTGGAGGCAGGAGGATCAGATGTTCAAGGTCATCCTCAACTACTTGGGGAGTTCCAGGCCCCCCCCCAAAAAAAAAGGCGAAGGAAGCCAACTATTTCAAAGAAGTTTAAAATAAAATGTAATTTTATTTAATTTTATTTTTTGAGATAAGAGCCTTGCTGTGTATTCCTGGCTGGCCTGGAACCTAATATGCACACCTTGAATTTGGGGTGATCTTGTCTCTCCTGAGTGCTGGGGTTACAGATGTGCATCATCATACCCAGCTTCTTTCTCATAGCCTTTGTGTTTTTGTTTGCCTTCAAAAAAATAATCTGTTTGGGGACTGGAGAAGATGGTTCAGCAGTTAAGAGCACTGGCTGCTCTTGTAGAGGATTCAGATTTAGTTCCCAGCACCCACATGACAGCTAACAATCGTTACAGGGGATCTGATGCCCTCTTCTGATCTCTGCAGGCAGTGCACAATACAAGTGCACTTGCATACGTGTGAGCAATACATTCATACACATAAAATTAAAATATAAAAATAGGGGCTGGAGAGATGGCTTAGCGGTTAAGAACACTGTTCTTGCAGAGGACCCAGGTTTGAATCCCAGCACCCACATGGCAGCTAACAACTGTCCATAACTCCAGTTCCAGGGAATCTGACAGCCTCTTCTGTCCTCCTCGGGCATTGCACGACACAGGTGCACGTACTTACATGCAAGCAATACACGCATACACATAAAATAAAAA